AAAATAATAATAATGTCAGATGGTTCAAGAGGTAGTTCTGCTGCTGACAAGGCCCCAGGAGGAAGCTTTCAGGACTCAGTGGCATGAAGTTGATTTATTAGCCTCACTGTGTTAACAGCCCTCCTAAGATCCCAGCGCAGTGATAGCCTATGTATGAAACCTTAAATCCTAAAGGGATCTTCCTTATAACAGACATGTAGCACAGTCCAGTCACTTGATAGATGAGGCAAGTGGCCCAGAAAAAAGAGGTTATTACAATTAGTTACTGCACATTAGAATCACCCAGAGAGCTTTTAAAATCCTAATGCCCAAGTGACACCCCAAAAGAATTAAATCACAATGTTGGGGGTGAGAGCCAGGCACCATTTTTTAAAGACCTCCCACTGATTCCAATAGGTAGCAGTTTGCAATTAATGAGCTAATGGTTTGTCTAAGACCATACTTCAGGGGACAAGAACCCACCATGGTTCAACTCCATTGTTTTTAGCCAAAACTGGCCCTTGTCTCAGGACATCTTGAGAAATGGCAGAGGAGTAAACAGTCAAGCCCTGCCATGATGATGCTATGCCAGGCACTTTCTATTTATTAGTTTATCTTTTGCAACCACCCTTCAAGGTAGATACATCAGCTCTAGTTCACCATGAAGAATGTGCACGTGTTTTCATGTAGCCTGTGAATCCTTGCTAAATGTGAAGGGAGGCTCTCTGAGACTGCCTCAGGGGGACTGCAGTGGTGCTCACTTTAGTTGTTGAACATGCAGTGACATTCATTCAACAAGTGTTTATGGAGGGTCTACTGTGTGCCAGGCATTGTCCTAAGCTATGTGGATAAAATGGTAATGAACGAGGTATATAGGCTCTGTCCTCCCAGAGCTTGTTAGCTAATGAAGAACCCAAAGTCATAACTCAGCAAGTCCAAAATTTTAGGATTAACACTGCAGTGGAAACTTGTTTTATTCATTTTCACTGAGCCTTGTTTCGTCAAGACTTGTGGTGGCAAAAACACACATAATGAAGTTGTTAGAATATAAATAAGAAACATAAATCAAGACTACGGAATATATAAGTAAAAGTAGAGTCAAGAACAGAAGAAGAAAAATTTATAGTCATGCAAGTCATAAGGATCCACTTGGGCTGAACCTCAAATTTGGCATTAAATATCCTGGCAGCCATATCGAAGAGGGAAATGTGGTTAGTTGCAGAGTTCTTATTGTCAGAAAGAAAAAGAATACAAGTTCCTTAGGGAAGGAAAGGCTTTCCTAATACTTGGCTCTTGAAGAAATGTCTCAGGCAGAGCTTCATACAGCCTCTAACAATATTTCTGCTAGTGACTACAAAAGTGGATTTTATAAGACATAGCTTGTAGCATCCTGCAATGAAAGTGAGAACATAAAACTAAAGTGCAATTTAATAAATTCATTTATGTTAGCAGTAGGTGGTGAGAGGTAAATTGATTTGAGCCAAATACAGGTTCAGATGAACCTATGACTAGAAGCTGGAACACCAGGGAATGGAGGGATTTTATATCCTTATAACAATCTTCATAAACATAATTTCTCTCTACTGAGATTTGGATAATTCAAATGGTTATATTTTCTATTTTCTGGTGCAGGGATAAAGGGCAAGTATTCTATGTTGTGAATAATGTAATGTCTTATACCAGGGGTCAGCAAACATTTTCTGTAAAGGGCTAGGTAGTAAATATTTTATACCTTGGGGGGTAGATGATCTCTGCCACAACTATTCATCTCTGCCACTGTAGCACAAAAGCAGCCATAGACAAGATATAAATGAATGGACATGACTGTGCCCCAATACAACTTGATTCATAAAAGCAGGTGGCAGGTCAACTTCTTACCTACAGTCTACATAGTGCCAACCCCTGGTATAACCTAAAAAATAAATGCGATTATTGGTATTCTTTCATTGAAATTCAGGAACAATTGGTAACTTTGCAAGTCTTGGTCAGTGGTAACTTTGTCTTCATAGTTTAAATGCTATTGTGTGATGGCACATGATGGAAAGAACGTGGCTCGTGTTTGGGTTGCAAATTCATTATGTTCGTTGAAAGAACATGCAGATCCCAAAGCAATCCAATACAGCTATTCACACATAAAAGGGGCCCTCAGCCGACATGGTGCTGGGATTGTTGCAGCACAGAACTAGGCTGGCTGTAAAGAAACCCTTCCATTCCCTGTGGAGAAGAAGAATTATGATGTTCCTCACCTGGAATGGTCTTGAAAAGCAACACAGATTCTCAGTTAACATCTCATGGTTGGTTTCCTAGGAAAGAGGGAAGATGCTGGACCATTTCCAGTGACTGATGCTTGCTATTCACATCTTCATCACCTTTCCAAGTGAGAAATCTATTCCAGGCTACCAGACAGAAGTTCTAACAATCTTCTAGGTGTGTAGCATGTAGTACAGTCAAAGACATTATAATTAACCACAGGGGAAAACAATAACATTATTTCATTTTTAAAAGGCTTAGTTATGAGCAGACAACACATGTTTATAGTTTGGTATGACCTGAATTCTTAAATTTCCCCCTCACTGGTCAAAAATGAATCTGAGAGGTTAATTGTTTAATGGGAGGTATTTTAAAGGATTGAGTCCAGGGGCTCATCAGAAGAAGTAGCCCCAAGTGACTTGGAATCTGCAACAGGTGGGTTAGGACCTCATCCTTAGATATTGCTTTAATCAATTTATGGGTAAGCCATAGTTCTGAGCAGAGTCATGTAGTCACATGCCCCATGTGTAGTGACAATGGGAATGTAGGCTTAAACATAAGTAACAGCTTCAAAAGAGTTTGTAAAAACAAGGCTATGAATATTAATATAATTGTGAGATCTTTGGGGCTTTATTGTCAGTTTGAACATAATTTGAAATATAGGGATTTGTAAACAGTCAGTAAATGCTTCACTTGCTCCATTTGGAATTTTGTAACTATTCACCTCTCCAGCAGCATAAGGTGGTTAAGAAGACAGTTTCTGTTCGTTGTAATAAACTACTCCAGGCTTAAGGAGGGCAATTACTGTGTCTTTATATTCATATACCCAGGATTTAGTGCAGTACCTAATCCATAAGGGCTGCTCTAAAATGTTTGCCCAGTGAATAAATCCTGGATAATAATATCCTGTTTGCAAAGCCAGTATTACAGAGTGATTGGTTGCCAGTAGGGGAGATAGCTCCCTTTGGTTACACAAATTGTGGCAGACATTGAACCACTCCAAAAGAAACTGAAGCTTTTTATTTGGGAATTTAAAATATTTATTTGGGAAACTTAAAAGCAGAAAGCCACTCAGATGGAACCATAGTGTCCCCTAGCAGATACCACCAGATGGGGGTGGGGGTAAACAATTGCAGTCACATATGCAGCAGGTATATATATTTTTTTACTAATGGCTTATTCTTAAACAGGACTTGAGGCCAGAGAAATTTCAAGGATAAATTGCTTTGGGAGAATGCCTGACATCAATGTCTCCTGAGACATCTAAGTTTTCCAAAATAACAAGTCACCAGATATATTATTTTGTTCCCTCCTCTTCCTTCCCCTGGCCCCTGCCAATTTGCTTATTTACAAGAGTTACCTTATCAGTTGTCTTAGGAGAACTCATTTCCTTCAACAGAAGTCACAGTATGATCTTATGGTCATAATTTTACAATATCCCTGCCTCTACTGAGAAGAGATATATAGCGAATGGAGCTGTGCTGAGCCAATGAGGAATTAATCCTAGGCAGCACTAGTAGGTGAGGCCACAGCTCTGACCCCACCCTACTCTGGTGGTCAGGCCAAAGAAGAAGTCAGGTAAGAAGTGTGAAAGGAAATTCAGTCTTGGAACCCCCAAACAAATTAAGCCAAAGGGAAAATTCAAGCTGGGAACTGGGTCATGCAAACCTGCCTCCCCCTTTTGGTTCCTAAATAAGATGACTACAAGATGAAAGCTAAGTGCCTCCCCAATGCTTTGCCCACAAGGGAATTCCTGGTGAGCTACTAGATCTTTACTCTAAAGGTGTTTCTATTAAAATTTCACCATGACAATGCAAATTGATAGTTTATAGGTGCAGCCACCCCTGGCCTGCCAGACATAAATGCACATCTGATTGTTCCCCTGGCCCAGTTTTGTCTGTTATCTTATGTAAAATGCAGATTCCCTGCAATTTTCCTCTGCCTCCTTTGTCCGTGTCATCTTATGTTAAAAAAAAAAAAAAAAAAAAAGCAGCTTCAATGAACCAGACAAAGGCATGAATGACTATTTTTCCCTACCCACCTCTTACTTGAAAATTGTGTACTTCTCAATATCTTGCCCTTTCCACTTTAAATTTGGAGCCCTCAAAATCATCTTCGGAGAAAGGCATAGACCTGTCTCCCAGGTGTGCGTCATTAACTTTGGCAAATAAACCTCCTAAAATAATTGAGACTTGTCATTTTTCTTGATTGATGGAAGAAAGGACAGAGACAAAAGGATGGCAGTGTACTTGGCAACCCTCAGAGCCTAGCTGAGGCTCCAGCCCTGGGCACTTCACTGGAGGGTTCCCTTGCCAGCAGAGGAACCTGCAGCCTAACCTCATGCCGGGGTAACTTTAATATGGGCAATCCATCTTACTGTAATAGACAAATTGCCTACTTTCACTGCATCCACAGATTTACAAGGGACAAACTTTGGCCCTAGGAATATTTATTGAATATCATTTCATCCTTGTGACTTCCACTTCTTTCTGATTCCCATATCACCAGCCCAAGAGAACTCGAGTATCTGTTCACAGCTTTGCTCCTCTTTCCCCACATTAACCACAAAGCAATGGAAGTAGAATAAAGAGACAAATGGGTAACTCTAAGTAGGTTCATCACATGCCCTGTGTCCAGAGCCAATATATAAATAGTCTTGATTCTGATTGTGTTGAGGTATAAAAACATGCTGATTTCTATGACAGATATTAATGATTATTACTTGTGTATTCATTTGCTCACTGCTCCATTCTGGATGTTCTCGGTCTCAGGGCCTGAGGATCATTTTCTCGGATGCGTCACGGCTCATCTTCCGGCTCAGTTCCTCCAGTGGTGTGCGGGCCACCCTCAGACTGTACGCAGAGAGCTACGAGAGGGACCCCAGCGGCCATGACCAGGAGCCACAGGTACAGAAACAGTTGTACTCCCAGCAGTGTGTCTCGCAGCTCCTGGCAAATTTAGCTCCATGGGGCTTTAATGGGGCTATTTTACCTTCTGGAAAGGTAGGTGATAATTTCAGCTGGAGGACAAGCTCGGTGCAACTCCAAGCAAGTTTAATTCATTCAGTATAGTGTTTGAAACAGAAAAATTGCTCTCTCGCATCGATTTGTAATCCGTTTAGACCAGCATGTCCCAAACAACCGTCCTCTCTTGATGTTCAGTGGTTTGTTAATTGGGGTAAAGAAAAGGCACATTTTATAGACAAGAAAATTTAGCGTTAGAGTCAAACTGGTGAAACTCTCAGAGCCTTGACTATGCTCATGTAAATTCTGAATCTCCAGATATTTGGACCATGACCTTGAGGTGCCAATACAGATGGGATCTGTCTCTGAGATTGCTCTATTGTCTACTCTGAGAGGAGAGGATATCGGTGGCTTTTTAAGTTAAGGAAGGACATTAACAAGGCTAAGCTAGATTGTGCTTGGCAAAATCTTCTCATGTTTTCAACAATAAGGCCAATTAAGAACTCGGAAAAATCATAAATAACACAACCATAAGCCTCTCTACTCCCATATGCATTAACGCTCCAGGCAACATTAATTAATACCAGAAACAACCCACTCTAATGTTGGGTACTTCAAGCTATACAGCTGGCTGCTCCTGCCTTCTTGGTCTTCAATCCAGGTTTCGAAGCAAGGTCCTTGATGAGATGATTTTTTGAGATGAAAACATTTGTTCTACCTGCCATACTTCCTTTGTGGAAAAGTAGAGAAACAGAGAAATACTCACTGCTACTGATTTTAGAGGTGCTCAGAATTTCTAGCTATAATTTGCCCTGATGGAGTAAGATACCTGGGAGGGTCTTCTTTCTTTGTCAGTAGTTTAGTGTTTTGTTTTTGTTTTGTTTTTTGTTTGTTGTTGTGTTTTTTTGTTTCATGGTTGGTTTCTTTGGAGAGTCTCAAAGAACTTGGTAATAATGGGTGCTAAGATCCTTACACCTACCCCTGCAGCCAGGAGATCTGCCTGGAGTAAAATCATCCTGGATGGGACAGGAGAGGCTGGAGGGGGCTGAGAGCTGTTCTCAGGGTTAACCAAGAGCATGAGTGGGCAAAGCATGTGGCCAGCGTGAAGACCTTGTCTTTTCCTCTCCGGATCATAGCCCTTCCATGCAGGGGATGGGCCAAATTCTGCCAAAATAATTTGTTAGTGAGTACATTTCGCCCAAGATAGTACCAAATCATGCAAGAATTTGAGGCTTACCCTGTCTTTCCGAATAAAACACTATTCTACATCTCATGTTGGGGAGCGAGATTAAAGCAGGGGCCTAAAAGTCCAGAGCTACGTACAGGGTGAGGAATGATATTCCTGGCCTCACCAACTCTGACTCACTCTGACTCCGGGCTATTTTTTCCTCAACATTCTTTTCCCTATTTGCACAGGGTAAGTGGTTGTGATATTTGCTTATTTTTATTTACCTTCCACGCTGGACTGAGACCAGGCCATTAGACAAGTGTCACAACAATCCTATGCACACATGAGTCTCTCCCTGAGGCAGTCCACAAAAGCAGTGCTTTTGATCCTCCAACCCACCCCGCCCCGCCCGCAGGCTTCCTTTGAAGCTGAAAACCTCCATCGGCTTACTCTTAGAAGGTCGTGTGAGTAAAGGAAACATAAGTCATGCTGGTTTTGGTCCCCATGACTGCACATTTCTCATCCTGTTGGTGGAAAGAATTTGCCACTTTGAAGGGTTGGTGAATCCCTTCACTGACGTTCCTGTTGCAATTGCTGATTTGCCCTCCCTTCTCCTCAGAAACAAGAGTTTTCCTAGACCTGGCTAGATGGGCCCCCAAGGATGTAGCACATGATCTAGCTAAAAGTTTTATATTAAAATAGAACTCCTTGTTAAAATACCATACATCATTCACTCACCAACTTAAGCCCTATTGCATAATAGCTTTGAGTCAGGATATATCATAGAGTAAGACTTTAAAAGAAATCTAACCACCTAAGGGAAAGCAAGATTCTCTCAGCAGGCCAACCTGTCTTAATTACTGCTGAACTCTACCTAAGCCTTTAAGTTGGAGCATTTTGGAGGCTCCTTATAAGGTTGCTTTCCAGGACCACCTGCTTCTGCCTTCCAAAAAGCCTTTGATTAACTGTGAACAGAGATCAAAGTAAGATGTACTCCTGAAGCCGCTAGTGTTATTCCTGATCAGGGCCTGACTGGAAAGACCTGCTTGTGTTGCTTTCTCAGCTACAGAAAGAACCCCTTCCACCTTCTCTAATCTGCAAAGATTCCATTGTGAATCTTGTTCCAATTCAACAGGGAGTTTTTAATGTTTTACCCATGCTAACTCAATAGCCATCTACACTCAAATTATTTTGCAAGAGAACAGAGAGTTCCCTTCAACTGGCTTATTAGCATCTGGCTATTTTACTTTGCCCATGGATAGTTTCTTTTCCAGACATTTTGAACACATGTGAACAGAGCATATTTTAAACATTTACACTGATTGCCTTGCAGACGTACTCATAACAATTCTAGTGATGCAATTAGGAAAACTTGTGATATAATCTATATGCATTTAGACCATACCTTCACATGTAGATTTCCCATTTGCATCCTTTTGTAGAACAGTGATGATGCTATTTGTTTTAAGTTAATGTCAAATAATTTCTTATCTACACCAAAAATATTGTTTTAAAATTCTATCCATGTGTGCCTACGAATTGGTGGTAAGAAGAGGATGGGCCGGGGAGGGCCCTGATGAAATGAGCAGGTGCTTGCCCTGATCCCACTCTGTGTCCTTGGTAAATCAGGAAGGAAAGCTTCCAAAGGCTTGTTGCTGGAAGACTACCTAGTTTTTAAAATACAAGTTTATTTTAATTTTACCAGCAATCACTAGGCCTTCAATGAACCCTCAAACCAGCTGGTAATCATTTGGAAAAAGGAATGAGCCAAAAGCGTTTAAAATCACAGGTAACCAGAAACAGTACAATTGTTTCCATTTTATTTCCCATCCAATTTATTAGCAGGGCTGCTAAATTAGCTTCTCGTTGACCTTCTTCCCTTGTCCCTTTCAGCCTGTGGGTGGAGTAGTTAAGGAACAATAGAAGATCCAAAAGGAAAAGGAAGGAGAAGTTTTGTTAAGGGCTAGGAAAATCACAGACTGATAATCAGCCTGTGGCTAATCAACCCTTGGCTTTAGTACTTTCACTGCAGAATACAGTCACACCCCATGGCACCCCAGTCCTCGGGAGGGGCCTGATTTTCCCCCAGTCATCCTGAAAATTGAGGAATTTAAATATTTGTTTGTTTTTGTTTTATTGAGACAGAGTCTCACTCTGTCGCCCAGGTTGGAGTGTAGTGGCATAATCTCAGCTCACTATAACCTCCATCTCTCGGATTCAAGGGATTCTCCTGCCTCAGCCTCCTGAGTAGCGGGGACTACAGATGCCTGCCACCATCCCTGGCTTATTTTGTATTTTTAGTAGGGACAAGGTTTCCCATGTTGGCCAGGCTGGTCTCAAACTCCTAACCTCAAGTGATCCACCTGCCTCGGCCTCCCAAAGTGCTGGGATTACAGGTGTGAACCACCACACCCGACTTTAAGTATGTGTTTTTGATAAGCTGTACCTAGAAGGCTTTAACGACTAATACCTAAGCACCAGGTCCCTCATATTTATTCACCTGTCAAACCAAAGGTCATCTGTCATTGTGTTCTACCTGTTCTTAATAAGACTTTGTAATCCAGAAATAAAGTATAGAGCCATTTTGTTTTACATAGGGAGAATATATGATTTGTAATCTAAAGCAGAATACAGATGCTCCTAGATTTACAACAGAGTTACACCCCAATAAACCCATCATAAGTTGAAAACGCATTGAATACACCTCGCCTCCGGAACATCAGAGCTGAGCTCAGCCTACCTTGAACAAACTCAGAACATACATTAACCTATGGTTGGGGAAAATCATCTAACACAAACCCCATTTTATAATAAAGTGCTGAATATCTCATGAAATGGATTGAATCCTATACTGAAAGTGAAAAAATCATCGTATAGGGACTCACAGTATGGTTTCTACTGAATGTGTATTGCTTTCACACCATCATAAGATTGAAAAATCATTAAGTAGAACTAGCAAAAGTTGGGGATCTGTACTTTTGTGAGTGAAAGATAACTGTAATTATGTTTAGATTGTCCCCAATAAACCAGGAGACATGATTACTCTAGCTACCAGCGTGCATCCTCTCTTAGAACCGCATATCTCTGTGGATGGCTTTCTAAGAACACTAGCAACGAAACTTGAAAGAGGGAACATACAGAAATGAGAAGAGTCAGCTCAGTGGTTCTCAGCCCAGGCTGCACATCAGAACCACTCGGGCAACTTGGTGAAAGTACCTATGCTTTGGCCCCAGTCCTAGAGATTCTACTTTAATTGTTTTGAGGTGGGACCTGTAGATTTTTAAAAGTTTCCTGGATGATATTAATTAGACAAGTGCATCTCAAACTTTAATTACCAGTCAATCACCTTGGGAATGTGTTAAAATGTGGATTCTGACTCAGGTATGAGGAGGGCCAGAGATTTTGCATTTCTAACAAGCCTTGGAGCTTCTAACAAGCCTTGTTAGAAGCCTCCCTGCTGCTGGTCCAGGAGCCACCCGTTGAATAGCAAAGAGCTAAGTGAACTGTGAAGTGCTAGCAGCAGGACCTTGAATTCTTTAAAACTGTAGAATGAGCGGCACCTGTTTTTAATACCGTTCCACACATTGATCTCTGTCTCCCGGACTTCTATTTATGTTGCTTATTGGATTCCACTTGAATGTCTTATAGACATCACCAACTTGACATGTGCAACACTGAATTCCCACCAGCCTCCTGTGCACGCCTCCAAAACAAACTCCAGCATCCTGCTTATTTCATTCTTCTCCATCTCAGTAAATGGCAGTTCCATTCTTCC